CGAGATACGCCGCCGTCTCGAAAGAATAATTGATGATCCATGGAATTTGCAGTTCCGTGACTGAATCAGGAATTTCCTCGCGTACAATCCGACTTGAAGGATGATCCTTTAATGATTGATCGATACCGTCTCGTATTCCTTCCGGCATTGCGTCGATTTTACAAGTTTGCGTGCACTTTATTCGTCGAACGCTTCTACAAAATTAAAGGGAGAACCGAAATACTCTTCACCTATTTTTTGAATCTCGCTGATCCGTTTCATTTCACCGGAGGATCGAGAAGAGATCTCTGATCCGAAAGAAAGGAATGTATTTCCCATCAGCTTCGATTCTCCTTTTTATGCGAAGAACAGAGAAGGGTTTCAATTCGCGAGGCATTTCACGAGAAACGATTCTTCCACGATCGATCAGCGACATGACCGGCTAATGGCGCGAACGAAGGGGGACGGACACGTCCCACCCGGAAATGGACTGTGCCACTTTGGTCAGGAGTGCCTGAGGGGACAAAAGTTCCATTTCATCTGGTAGTCATCCATCAGATACTCGTTTTAATAGCTGGAGCCCCTCCGGCTTGTTTAGTTCGGACAGGTAAACCCCTTTCAGGAGACAAAATTGACTTGGACGTAGCCACCCTCCGCTTATCAAGCCGGCTAGAAACTGCGACCCCTAAAACGGATTACGGTGTCGCGTCGTTCCTAGTATCAGTCTCTCGTCGGTATAAAGTCAATCGCGTCGCCAGGTGTAAATTGAACAAATTAGATTGAACGAATTTTATCGACTGTTAAAAGTACGCTACACGGACGATATTACGTTTGCCACTTCCGTCGGGGTTAACGCGTTTCTTCTGCCGGATAACGTTCAATTCTCCTTCTCAGCTTCCTCACAGTTTAATACTCGTTCCTACTGAGAAAATATAAATGATAGTAATCATTAAAATAATACGTTAGGTTTTTATTATCTCATAAAGATTACAATCGAAGGTATATACACGAGAGTTTTTTTTTCTATTGATGCGCGTTTTATAGAAGATCCACGTGGAACCTACTCGCTACGTGTGGAGGATATTAAATAATGGCGACTGATGTTATTGAGATTTTATGGGTCGCATTGGTGAAACGTACACTTTCCGAAATAAATCTATTGCAAGAGACGGCGTTACTTGTTGATTGCGCAAGCTTAACGCGCGATACATGTAATCGCGGGTATTGACCTGGCCAGCGATATCAGTGAAATTTCAATATTTGGAAAAGACGATCAGAATCAGCCGCGGGCGGGTAAACCATTCAGCGATCCATTCTACAAACCCGGAATACCGAACTTGAGCCAGCAACCACTGGTCACCGTTCGTTTATCAATTTAATACCGATTGAATTCCTATCGGGTGACGTCATATTTTCAGCGTGAAGCCCTGTCGGGTAAATTACATTTTTCCACATACATATCTCGGAGGCAAGAACGAGCAGCAAACGGAAATGAAGTCATGAATAAATAGAACATTTTTATTGAAACTGCGAGGCGTACGGTGTAGTGCTCGGGGGGATGAAATCTTTCTTCTCTACGTCTTTAGCTCACTGTTATGGAAATATGATTTTGCATAAAAGTAAAGCGACGAAAAATGAACGACATTCTCCAAAAAATGACTCGACAAGCTGTCGCTATCAATTTAAAGAATAACAGCGCTGATATTTCGCAGAGCGAATGTCATGTTTAAGTACGCATGCCTATTCTGGCCAGAGACGGGTTTATCTTGCGCGGTCAGAAAAGAAGAGATAATCGAGTTCCTTCGCCGCGGGGTAATAATTCACCGTCTTCTTAGAAATTTCTGAAAGATATACTGCGGTTCACGTGAACTGTTTTTACTACCAATTCCGAGAAGACGCTAGTTAGACGAGAGAAACGGCGTTAAATATTAAAAGTTGATATCAAACTGCGAATATGCATTCTTTAAATCATTTTCCTTCGTTCTCGTTAAAGTTAGAAGTATAATTTAGGAAAGGAAGGGTTGAATTGATTAAAACGTAATGTTGTAGTACGAAAGTTAAAAATTGAATGAAATAAATATGGTGAGCATAGTTTGGAAAAAACGTCTAGTGCAGCGTCAATAAGAATTAGTTTGAACCGTCTGACTTATTTCGACTTATACTACTGACAGCCTGCGCGCCTAGAATAACGAAACGCGGTACATACTTAAATTCGCTAGTCGACATTAAGTACCGCGTGCCTTGAAGTCACGAGCGAGTTTTACAGGAGATGTGCTCGATTTTATTGCCGCTCGTGTGTCTCAGAATTTTAATGAACTTTTAATCGACTTCTTTCCCCGAGTCCATTGCGATCTCATCTCCCTTATCTGCTATTCGGTATAGAGCAGAGAATATTAACTTGAAATCGATTCAACTCTCTTGATACCATCGTGCTTTATCCTAATTGAAATTCTTGTAATTTACACACTAATGATTAATTTTACTTCAGAGACATTAATTATGACTGAAAGGTCATAATTAATCATCAAATCAATTCCGATCCGTCTTTCTTTACGAATTAGCATAATCACTGATGCTACGTGGGGCATTAAAAGAGCACGGGAACATGGACATCCGGATTGCTAATTGTCGGATAATGATGCGACCGTCCGTAATCACAGAATATTCCCACCCCTCGAAAAAGCCTGACTGAGTGACTTTCCAGATCGTAATGCTCGTCTCTCTCGCTTTATTCCTCAATGAATTTCTAATTAGGAAAGTCGTCGAGCGAATACAATGCCGCGAGGTCGAATCGAAATCGTTTAATCGAACGGGTTCTACGCACTTGATTAATTGCTCCTATCGAGAGTTTTCAGAGATTCGGAACTTGATATGAGGGTGATAAAGAAAACTGTGAAACGGAGGCGTGAACATTTCCGGTTCCCTTTGAAACTCGGACTTCGAAAGTAATGGTGCGGGTAAAAAGAGCAGTGCAGACCGCTTTTCCGTTCGGAACACTCGTTAAAACCTCTCGACTGTTCCGCCCACGGGGGAAGAAAGTTTCGCGAGTTACTTCGAGGTTGCGTCACGTTGCATCACGTCTACTTCCGTCAACAAATCGATTTCTCGTAGCTAGATTCGTCTGGTCTTCTTCTAGGAAACTTCTATCATGCGAAAAAGATATTCCGTACCGTGTTTGACAAACGGAACCGTGGTTTCCATGCGATAGAGCACAAAATTCACACTGGAACGTGATCGATTCGTACTGCATAATCTACCAGCTCGATCCATAGATCTTACACCCGAGTGTCAGAGGAAATAAGAATTTCGATACATTTTGATCAGACTTACTTTTCAAATTCATAGTTAATCACTCGACGAATTTTATTCAAAATGAAACATTTACAATCCTGATTCAGAAAATGAAGTGTGGACAGGAATTTCTATTACCCCCTGAAAGTGATAATCGCAATCATCGCCTGAAATTTATCTCGCTTTGAAAATTAGTTCCTAAATCGAGAATACTGTAGTTAATTCTAAACATAATCACTCGCATCGATGCACACTTGACGATAAGCTTTGTTTAACAGGTTGTTATAGATCGTTACAGACAATAGATAGCTGGCGGTTCTGCGTTGTGTAGAGTAGACTTCTCGAACAAACGAAACGTAACAGGAACCGGTAAACGTGTTCGAGTAATGCCTATCTCGATACTCTGTGGCGAAAGTCCGTGTAGGTATAGAATCCAAGTGCTCTTTAGCAGTAATTTAGAGCGTAGGAATCCTAGTATGCATAGTGTAGAATTAGACCCGATGAAACGTAGATGAATGAGAGCGCTAGGGAATTCGGAAATTTTCGAGTACCCATAAATTACGACCGACAGAGATGGATCTCTGGGTTGAATTTCAACATCATATTAGTTGCAAGGAGGCGACGATATTTAATCTGCCGTTAAGCATGCAAATTACATGCTCGGGAAGATCACGCTGAGGGTTTATTTTAGACAGCTGTTCCTCTTCAAGATGTTCCTCCTCGTTCTTAGTTCTCATTGAGCTTTTCATATTCCTCACGTAGAATTAAAATTGAATGTAATTTGTAAATATGACGAGACGATGTTTAAATTATATTTTCAAGACGTAATGTTAATGAAAAAATCTACACTTCCTCAATTGACAAACGCTTTCAGTGTTTCCTCAAGTACTACTCAGTTTTATATTTTGAATATTTTTCTGAATATGTGTCTACAGCTGCTATGAGATTCATGCGAGTATCGTGGAACGTATCCATAACGAAACGTTTATTCTCTTTAAAATTATTGAGTAATATTGCCTGGTCGATTTATTCTTCCACGCAGCTTCACTTCAATCACTCGCGAGAGCTACTCGCGCTTATGTACATATATGTATGTACAGTACACCCATATTTCTCGCAATACGCGGAGGTCGAACAAACTCTCACGTCGCGCCGCACGCCGACGGAATTTATTCTTCTTTCTCGATGGTTTAAACTCGATCTTGGAATTTCTTGTACCGCGTTTTATATACGATTTTCTATGGATAGCCGGCGATAACGGGTGAATTTTTGCGCGAATATCGGAATCCTGATACATCCTCTTTGAATTCACGAGGAGTGGAATGCAATTTTTACACAAACGCAGCGAAAATGCATTACCGTGAGAATTCGCGAGTTCTCTTTACATTTTATTTTAAGACGGAACAACGAACGCGTTTGATAGTGACTTATGAATACGTGACGATTTAAAGAAGTTGGAGGAGTTGAATTTCTCCGAGGCTTCGCGCGGGATGTAACTAGTAGATCCGGCTCTCTGAATAATTAAAAAAGCACCGGGACGCTTTTCTTGATTTCAGTTGCGCGCTACTTTTATTTTCAGGTCAACAACTCGTGACACGTGTCTCGGTTCGGTGAGCGCGCGCTAACTTTACGCGCAGGTTTTGGTTGAGACTCGATTTTCCAAACAGATTTCTTAGGTCGTTGCGTCCGAAAGGCGTTCAGCTGATTTCACTCATTCGTTGATTACGCAGATGCCAGACAACGCAAACTGCCACGCGTCGCCCATGAAAGATAACGTCGTCGCCGGTCCGACAAATCCGTAAAGGTGGGAACGATGTTGGAACAACGGATCAACGGTGATGAGTGAGCGGAAACGAAGATACGGTTCGTCAACATAAGCTAAGAATCTCTATAAACAAGCGATATCACGTAGCAAGGATGACGGCTATTCTTCCAGAGAACAATTAGGATGAAGTACGAATGAAACGACGAGATTCTACAACGTACTGTTAGAACTTTATTGAAGCGAACGGTCGCCATTTCCCGCTGGAAACAATCGACCTTCAATTCGACAGGAATTAGGAACGGTCGAAAAGATTGGAAACTTCCCGAAGTCATTTCAAAAGGGAACAAAGCGAATAACGTTTGCTGCTCGTGATTCGTTTAAGTCGCGATTCCGAAAAAGAGACTCCAAGAGCTATACTCAAAGTTTCTCGCGTAGAAACTTCGTGGGGGACCCGTGGAGAGAGAAGGTTCATTGAGATCCGTAGCAACGGTCGGTCGAACAATCGAACTTGCGAGCGATACCGCTACGGGTGTCGACGAGCTTTCGGAACTTGAAAGGAAGTGGAGTGGCAGAGAATGAGAACTCAGCGAAAGACGTTCCCGTTGAATTGGACGATCTGAACCGTGACGTCGCGACCGAATCGACCATCTGGACGTCTCCGATGCAATCGCCAACGCGACGAACACGACGTATCTAGAAAGCATTGTGCTCGGCAGCCAATATCAGCGGATATTCAGAAGGTTCGCGGACTATTTCTCGATGACGGGAGAAGGTTCGAACAGCGTTGCGAAGCGAGGCAGCCATTAGGCAAATGGAGTCGTCGCATCGAAAGACGTATTTCGTGTGTCCTCGAGCGGAAAGTCAATTTTTGACCGGATGACGTGGCTAATACAACGTTGAAACGTGACCCACCGTGAGATCAACTTGCGACTCGCGTGTAACGACTGTAGATTTCTGACCGTAACGAGTAACGGCGATTCAAAGAAGCCTGAAGGACGACTTTCGCCGACAGTGAAATCCTGCTTCCTTGAAATTCTCCAGGATTTATGTGACCGGGAATCGCTCACAGTCCACCCACGAGAGTTACCGAAGACAATAAGAAATCGAATTTCCGTGGCGCGGTTGCTAACCGGGTAGAAAAGTCTGATTAAAATTCACCTCCGAGAATCTGCATCGACTGCTCCAATTACACGCCAATAACTTAAGGGACTTGAACTCGCCTCGCGGTGAAATTGATATTCAGGGCGGCGAACTTTGGCAACACTTTCGACGTTTTGTCACTCAGCCGAACGACCGACGTTAACGATCTCACAGCTGAGAATCTACTGGAACAAATTTCCAAATTCAGTGAACTCAGTTTCCTATCTCCTATCTAAAGATCTCAGTACACGAGGACGCAGTTTAACGGACGTCGTTAAGAATATCTAAATTCCACGACGTCTGTCGACTTATCGATCATCAACATAAACTGGAGGATCAAGGAGGTCCTCTATTACCTCGGGCAGCTGGGCCAGAGCCTGGAAACTCGGAAAGAGAGAGGGGACGACCCTCGTGAAGAGGAACCGAAGCAGCAGAAGTGCGGCAGTGGTAGTTTTCGTCAGCTAGTGCGACGGTTGAGTATCAGTAGCGGAATTGGACGCTACACGATTGGTTCGTTCGGTGAGGGTGGGACGACTGGGCCTAGCGGTGGCGGATCAGTGGACAGGGTCACCGGCGGTCTGGGCACGGAGTCCGTAAACGGTTGCCCGGTGGCGGGTCCTGTGGGTCCGAGCGGCACGGTGTCCGCATCGACCGGCGTCGGCGGTCGTGCTGGTATCTTAAGCCGGCGGTCGAGCCGCGACTTAAGCCCGTCGAAGTCGTTCGAGGGACAGGATGCGCCCACCCACGGGGGCGGGGGTGGTGCCGGTGCCGGGAGCACATCCGGTTCTGGCGCAACCGGTTCCGGACAGGATTGGCGAAGGCTAATGGGTAGCATCAGACGGAAAGTACGCCGAAAGACAGGGCAGGCCAGCTCGAGCGAGGCTGCGCTGCACGAGACCAACCGCAATCAGGATGATTTTCTCAAGGCCACCATGAGAATATTCCTGGTGGTGTCGCCACCGATGGGCCGCGTTCAGGTATGACTAGTGAATACCCGCGGACGTTCTCCAATAAGGAAATTACAGTGCATCTTTGTGAATTCGTTCATCCATTCAGTTGTCACAACACTTGATCATTTGATTACAAATACACTCATCAGGACTTAACATTGTTATTCTAATGGGAAATTGAAATTAAAAATTCGTTCATTAATTCTTTTGTCTCGCGTCGAATAATCAAAGCTATCTACGGCTGCAGCGGATGTCATGAAAAATCAGGTTAAATTCTGCATTTGTACGCGTTATCAGGCAGTGGCCGAGGTATTTTTGGCACGTAGGTCTAGTTTGCCGGCACGGCGCGGCACGCGAGATAAAGCCGAATTTCATAATTCCCAGTGGATATTAATTCGTTAGACCGACGCGGCTATTAGTGGATCAAGTGTTACCGGCTGGCACACGCGTTCGCCCCAAAATAGGCGGCCACTAAGGCTTTAAGGATTCTCGAAACTTTTCGCGCAGTCGTCCACCGGCGACCTAGTTTTGCCGCGAGCCGCACGGAGGTCTGACTAACCCGCTGATCGGTGGGGAGAGATAATTGCTCCGGAAAATCGTGGTCGAAACGGGACTGTTTTTCGATCCGTGCAATCCGACTCGTTGCCCGTTCGAATCCATTGTCTGAGCTATAATTAAATTCCACCGTCTTCTTTCTGTACTGCTATCCGGTAAAATAAACGTGTGAACATTGGGATTGGAAGTCCGATTATCGTCTTGAAGCATTATAAAACGGAGAGTAATTGCTTGGATAGTCCTAGTCATAAATAGCGAAGTTTCTAAGAAGTCACTGTGACACCAATAACATGATTATTTACTGCGTCACTTCGTCGTAGCCATTAATCATTGCTGTTAAAACATTTGCAACATTTCTGCTGCCAAGTAACATAATAGCATTACTTTCTAGAAACACGTATGCACATTATGAATCATGACTTCAACTTTCGAAAGTACTCCCCTTTATCGTCACTAATTACACTTGCCGTACAAAGTTGAAATCGTGAATAATTGCAATTACAGAACAGATCTTTAAATACATAACACCGAACATTTGTGTTGAGATTTCAGTCGTTGCTGAAGGAATTCATTTTCATCTTAAGTCGCTTTTCATCGAGTTTAGTGAGCCGCATCCACCGGACCCTGAATGTCGTAAAATCCGTAGATCATTATCTGAACGATTTACGAGGTTTCTGGCACACGAAAGTGATTATCTGTCCGGTGCAATTAAAACGTTATCGAGGTGTTTCGTTGAAAGGCGTGTGTATTCGCCAGCTAAGTAAATGTTGGTAGCCCGGTTTCAATCGACGCGAGGCGGGGTGTCGAGGGGAAGTAGTAGTTCGCCTGAGACGACCTGCAAACCGATTATCCATTAGCTGGTTCGATCGATCCGGCCAGGTCGCTGTGCTTATTATTTTCACTCCTTTGTGCCCGCCACTTCGCTTCGAGGGATTCCGCGCGTACGAACCAAACGGAAGTTCCGCAATATTATATTTGTCTTTAGAAACGTCGCGCGTTGCGAACGTACCCCCACCGTTGTCGGTCATTGCAGAAATCCATAATTTCATTTTCAAAGTGATCAAATCACACGTCCCGCGCATCTGGCGTTTGCCTCGCTCCCGCGGGAGATTTTTATTTCAGATTTTTTGCCGTTCTTACCGGTTCCGTTTCGCTCGATGCGACGCGGCGTAACGCGTGTCACTGCAGATTTCGAATTGATTTTTCAGCTGCCATTACCAGCAGGCCTCATCGTTTCGGAGTGGGGTTATACGGGAAATTTATGACCCTTTCGTACAGACAAATATTTAAACAAATCTCCTCGCATAGAAACGCACGTAATGAGGAAAATTTACGAAATGGCAATAATTTTCGATCATGTATCGTAAAGAAAATACGTGCAGAGATAATTTATTATACAGTATTTTGTAGAAAACAAATCGAAACATTTTCACTTTATCTGTTTCCATAAATACTATTCTAATCGTGATATTGTGATCTTATACGTACGTAACACTGGTAATCGCTTATCGATTGCCGAGAAAGGAGTTGCGAAGTCAAAGCGCGGAATAAAAATTTTTTTTTATCAAGATTTATCGCGTTCCGATTGACAGAAACGGATGGCCGTACGTTACATTCGAGTACATTAAAAACGTAGCCGATCGCTATAAATCACTGTCAACGTTATCGGACCCTTAGCATACACGAGTGAATTTTTGATGCGCCGTGCCGTCAGTGGGAAGGCTTCCGACTTCATTCGATTTCGCTATCTCTTTTAAGAAAAATGAAAAACCGTAAAACGTCGAAGCACCGCTCGAACTCAACTCGATTCTTTAAGAAGAAAGAAAAACAGCCAGCTATAAAGGAGAGGAACGAAGCATAAGATTCACCGTTTCTATTCTACTGTCTCTTAAAGAATGTCTCATAGCGTACAGAGAACGAAATTCAACTCGATATTTCGTTCAACGTACATTATACTCGCCTGTGGCTCGCTGTTCGACGTAACGTTGACTCGTTCCACTTGAATCATCCTTTTCAGTATCCACGGTCCGAAATTACGATCCTGGCCTGGCCGGTTTTATCGTTTCCAGAGAATAAACGAAACGCGGCGGCGGCCGTGAAATTTGTGAACGAACGTTCGCAATAAACCAAGTCCCTCAAGCGGTTTAAAAAGAATAATACCACCGCGCTTCGCCGGTGGAGTCGTTAATGCGCGACGGAACTGTAAATTACGCAACGGTAGTAGCTGTCTTAGCGGCATAAAGAAAATTTATAGCGGTCTTCGACGACGATAGCCGCCACTTTATGTTTAGCAAGGGAGGGAGAACTTCAACCCCCTTTTCCAAGCGGAATACTGCGGAGCTGTGCGGCAGCTGCGCCGGATGTACGCCGAACTTGGCTAATTTCTATTATCATTGGCTTCCCGGTCTCCACGATTCCCGAGGATCGACCATAAGCCAACAACCCACACCACCGCGCCACACCGTTTCACTTCAAACCCGAGTGCATATTGGTTGTTCGTTTCCCCGCACTCGAGATTTGCCTGTGTGTTCCGTCAATACCGATGTGTTATCCCTCTCCTGATTGATTGCGATTCAAATCCTTTCTACCATCTGTTATCACTTATAATGAACACTTGAACCATCGTCAATTGACAAAACACTTTCTTTTGTGAACATAAATTTATCCGATAATTCGGGTGTCTCGAGAAAAAGTTTCAACCAATAGACTGACCAAATTTATTTCTTGGATGTTTGTATTTCTATATAAATAAAAGTTCAAGTTTATCGAGCCATAACACGTACCTGCTTGTAGTACGCGATGGTTGATTTCTGAAAATTCACACGGAGATGATTCTGCTGTGCGGGACAGGAAGCGTGGGCGGTGTTGTGACATCGTCGGGGGGTGAGTAATTTTCGGTTGGGTGCATTTGGGAACAAGATACCGCGAGGAGAACTATGTACAGTAGTTGGGATGACTTCGTATATTTGTATCCGCGTGAAACGGAGTATGCGTTTCGAATATCACACTAAACAAAACTCATTCCGTCCATTCCCTTTCCCGTTTCCTTTTCATTCATTTCAAACGCTGCCCGCCACGTTGATTCACTCACATGATACTTTATGATTACAAAGCAACATATCTAATATTCAAATGTGTCAGCGTTAAGGAACATAATAAATCTATTGACCATCGAGTTCGTTGTTAAAGCTATCAAAATTATCTATGATCGAGAGGCAGCCGTGTTTCGACCCTGATCAATCATACAACACCGAAAACAACTTTGACCAGATATAACTCGCTTAACTCACCGATCGATCATTTTCTATGAACGCGTCGAAACGATGAAAAAAAAAAATCTAAAAGACTTGTAGCCCTTTTATCCGATAGCCACAGTGGTGACTGATCCGTTTCGGGAATCTGCAACCTTGGGAACCTCTCCCCTAAAAAGAAGGATGAACCACCGGTGACCGCAGAAAACAGATTGAAATTCCAGTCGTGTTTCTCACTGTATGCATCATTCATTTTGCTCAGTGAGTAGGCGTTAGGGTATTTATCCCTAGGAGATCGATCGGAGAGAACGCGGCAGCGCGGTTTCGGCCGAGGGGATCGAAAGCGTTTCGATAGCCGCGAGTAAAACGCGACTCGCTCATTTCGGTTATGAAGTCCCAGATGACGAAAACGATGGCACGCGGATAATCTTTGGCTCGATTCCAAACGTCTTCGGCAGCGGTGGAGCCCTTGGCAGCTGCTCCCACCCTCCTCCGTGGCTTTCTTACTTCCAGCCTTATCCAACCTGCCAGACCTACTTTTTACGTCCCGGAGGAAATATCTCGCTGCGCTGTGTCGAGAGGTATTTGATACGGTGTATCCAGTGGCGATGCGTTTAGCTTTTAAAATGGACTCTTAAAAATGTAATTCCTTCGACTAGGTCTGAATCGTTTCTTCCTTTTATGCCAGAATGACACGAAATATAGGCAAATTCTTGGTGAACGTTTCTATATCAGAATTAATCGGCGTGAAGGTAAACTCTAACAGTTCCACAAACTGAACTCGAAAGGAATTCGCGGTATATTTACCCTTTGTCGAAACTCCGAGTTCGAGTCAAAGAGCGATAACCACAACCCAAATTCGACTGTTCTGCAAGGTTCCTGCTTTAAATGCATCCTGGACGGTGGTTTACATACACGTCCACTGTGTGCGGTGGGAACGTGTAACAGAATTTACAATTAGCGATGTACGTGGGCGGAAATAAAATTGAGTTGGTTTACAAGAGATTAAGGTATAAAACAGGCGTGTGTATTCCTAGAATTTCCCACCCTGGCGAACGCTCATTTGAAACGTATTTATTTCTGTACTATAAAAAGCTGAAAAAAAATTGCTTGACGATTTATAAGTAAAAGTATCGTTAATGGAAAATGTTTCAACCTTGATAATTGTATCAGTAGTCCAACTTAAAACGTCGCCGAGCATAGGTTTGCGGTGGGAATATC